TGGAATAGAAAAAGAACATTGAAGAAAGAACTGGATACGTTGAGGACGCAGCTGCATTAGTGCAATGAGAAATGATGATAGTCTGAATTGGAGTGATGGCAGTGAAGTTGGAGAGAAGTAGAATCAATATAGACTTGAAGGTAGAAGTGAGATGTCATAGTGAGGTACTGGAGGTGGAAAGTGAGGAAGAGGAAGGAGTCAGTAATGACAGCTAGGATTTGATTTTGTACAGCTGGATATATGGCTTTGGTTCTACTGCGCTAGGAAAGCATCTCAAGCATTTCAAGCATCAAAGCATTTCAAACCTCTTTCTCAGTTTGAGAAAGAGGTTTGAAATATGTGTGGGATGAAATCAAGAATTCTGTCTTGTACCTGTGTATTAGATTTGAGGCATCTCATCTAGGACACATCCCAGTGGAACTGTCAGATAGGCAGTTGGACATATGTTTAGTGTAGAAGAGAGATCTGGGATACAGAAATACTAATGGGAGTCGTTAAAGAAGTCCATGGTACTTAAAGCCATGAAAATGGCTATGATCACCTAGGAAGCAAGTGTAAGAAGAGAAGAGTAGAGAGGCAAGCTTTGGGTCTTGAGGAATACCAAGACTAAGAAGCCAAACAGGACAAAATAAAGCAACAAATGAGACTGAGAAGGTTACTGGGAAACTGATAGTCCTAAAAAGCCATGAGAAAAAAGAGGGAAGGAATAGCTGAGCTGAATGCAGCGCATAGATCTGGTGAGTTGATGCTAAATTTCCCATTGGAATATGAAGCATACTAATGGCAACAAGAGCAGTTTCTGAGGTGGTATGGCAAAATATATGAAAAACAAAGTTTTAAAACCCCCAAAAAACAGATTGAGAGAAAAATACTGTTCATACACACATGTCACACACAAGCATGCACAAAAAATACTGTCCATAAAGTAGAAAGCACTGTTACAATTCAAAAAGAAGAGACAGCCTAATGAGATGGATGGGCAAAGGATATGATACATTTTATTTATTTATTTTTATTTTTAAAAATTCCAATATAATTAATGTACAGTGTTATGTTAGTTTCAGGGGTACAATATAGTGATTCACCAATTCTGAACATCACTCAGTGCTCATCATGATAAGTGTACTCTTCATTCTCTTGACCTGTTTTAACTACCTCCCACCCACGTCCCCTCTGGTAACCATCTGTTTGTCTCTATCGTTAAGAGTCTTTTCTTGTTTGTCTCTTTTTTTTTTCTTTGTTCATTTGTTTCTTAAATTCCACATATGAGTGAAATCATATGGTACTTGTCTTAGGATATGATAAATTCTTAGCTGAAGAAATGTGATGCTCAGTCTCATAATTAAAAAATTGGCAATAAACAACAAGATACCATATTTTTCTCTTTAGGTTGTAAAATATACTTCATAATATGCAGAGTATGCAAGGATACTGCCATATTCTGTTGGTATATAAAGACGTTTTGAAAGAATTCAGTATATCAAAATAGAATTGCTTATATATGTTTTCCATTAATTTTACTTCTAAGAATAGGTCATGCAGAAACACAAATGTGTGCAAGGTTATCTCTTATTCACCAAATCCAAAATACTGCTGATTGAAATATGTATCCCAACTTTAGAGATACTCAGATGTGAAAATAAGTAGACCCCAGACTTGATGAAATACAGTATTATAAAAATGTTCATTGTAGCATTGTTTAAAAAGTTAAAATTGATGGATAATACTGAAGTTTAAGCTGCCATTAAAAGACCAAAGATCTAATGTACTGATATGAAAACATGGCCACTATTGTTAAGTGATAAAATGAATCTGCAAAAGAATATTTATAATATGATTCTATTTCTGTGGGAAAAGTTAATATATCTATGTATATATAGCTGTACTTAAAAAAATACTGGTAGGACACATGCCAAACAGCGGCAACCTCTTGGCAATGAGATTGGCAGGAGGTGAAAGATAGCTTTTCCTTTTTCTTTATACATATATGTATTTTTCTTTTTCTTTCTCTCTTTTTTTTTTTTTACAAATATCACATTATTTTTGCAAAACCATAAACCTCTTCATATTTTAGCCTGAAAAATCTGATTTGGATGAGGTTTATTTACTTGGGAATGCGGTAGTAAAAGAGTAACATCTACCTTAGCGTTTGGGGATTAAATTGAGTATTTCATGGTCAGCAACAAGGCTTGTAAAACTTCGGGTTTTGTTTCCAAGTCTAGATCTGAGTAAATTCAAGTCGAGTTATGATAGTGGGATTCTAAAAGTGGCAACTGGATGATATGGAATGCTGTGGTGATGAGGTGGAGAAGCAGGAATATCGTTTTAAGGCAGAAATGCAGAATTAGGAGAATGTACGGACATTTTGTACAAAATTCAGCATTGTACAAAATTTCTGAAATTCGGGAAATAGAATCCATGAGACATGAGAAATGGGACTCTTTGCATGGATTTGTCTGCCAGACTTCTGATGTCCTTGAGGCCTGCAGGAGAACACAGCAAAGACAGCTGCAGTCATGGATTTGGCAGCTCCAGCTAACACAGAGGGGTGGATCAGCAGATTGGCACAGGCTGAGGCAGCTGCCTCAGTATTCACATTAGTAATGGGGATGAGAAATTAGAAAAGAATGTTTAAGACATATGGACAGAACAACACTAATAATTTTAGGAAGCAGCGTTGCCATAACAAATCTCCAGTATAAATAACTATATGCCATCTCAATATGTGCTGGATACTAACATTTTCATTAGTAGGAATGACTAAACTATTATAAAAGATCATCTTTTATAAGGTTATTTAAGCTCTAAATTTCCATTATTCCACACAGGTTGAAATCCCCCCTACAAGCTGTTTTTCTCCTCCACCACCGTGGGAATTTAGGCATTGCAGAAGTGAGGGATAAAATGCTGTGCTAATTCTACCCCCGATAGAAGATATTTCTAAGAATGTTGTATATGTGAATAAGTACAGTGTTATTTACAGTGAATGATGTTTTACCACAGTGTGCTGCATTTAATATACTCCATAAAGGCACATATATAAAAATTCTTTCTAAAGATGGTAGTTGTATATATCGATAAATATAGTATTTCAGTGAAGGAATGTGTTCATTACACTTTGATGCATGGAATATACTATAGATTGTCAAATGTATAAAAGTTGTTTCTAAGAATAAAATTTTATTGCATCTGAGTAGTCAGTGAAATAATATATATCACATATGCTACATTTAATACATCTATAAAGTATGTATAAAATATTTCTGTGGTGATAGAAGATAAAAGATAAATGCTTTTAAGAATACAAAAAGCTAATTTTAGTCTTTGAGACTCTTTGAGACTAGAGAAACAGTCCATAAGATTCAATATATGGAAAACCATGTAAGCACAAGGAGACAAAACTACAAGATTTCAAAAGTATAGTTAACAAACCAATGGTAAAAAGACATTTTCAGGACAATTGAAATGGTTATGAAATGATATTCAAGAATTTTGATATTGTTAATTTTGATAGATGTGATAATTGTATTTATGTTAGAAAACATTGAACGTTAAACATTAGTGATGCATGCTCAAATAGTTGGGGATGAAATGTCATGAGGTCTGCGACTTTAAAATGCTTCAGCAAAAAATATAGATGAAGTGAATGTGGCAAAATATGTTAAATCAAGATAATGAGTATGTGGGCATTCATCATACCCTGCTCTTTTTTCCCACCTCTCGCCCCCCCTTATTCTTTTTTATATTTAAACTTTTTTATAATAAAAAGTGTAACAAAATAATGGTAAAATAAAATTCAAAAGGGCAAAAAAGGCTACAGACAGTTGCTTATTGGATAAGCAAAATTAATTTAAGCTCATGATGCTGTAGTAGAGGTATTTCAGCCAAGAACATTTCTCATGGCAGACCGCATAGTTTGTAGCAGGAGATCTGTATCCTGGTTCAAGTGCTGCGACTTTAATCGCTTCACCTTAGGGAGCCTCAGTTTTCTTAATCTGGAAAATGAAATGATTAGATTAGCTGATTGTTTTATTCTTTCCAGTTCTGAGATGCTATAGAACAGAAGCTGTAAACTCTAATGTCTACAGTGCGAAGCCGGTAATTCAAATTACTGAATTGGTGAAGTGCTTGCCAGTCTAAAGGGGGCGCCTCTTCAGCCGAATAATGCCTTCATGATAATGTGGGTTCAGTGTTTCCTTTTTCGAGATTAGGAAGAAATACAGATTTCTGTGTGAAAGAGAAGATTTGTGAATGTTAAATGAAAATGTAAAGAAAAACAAGGTGTAGGAGTGGCGAGGGAGGGACCACCAAACTCTGCGCCCCAAGTTTGCCATCTCTGCGCAGTCCTCGTCCGCGGTTAGCTAGGACGCACTGCAAAGGGCAGACGAGCATTGTGAAGAAGACCAGGAGATTAACACAAAGATCGAAACACACATCAGCGATTCTAAGGGATGAACTGTGCTTCGAAATGCCAGTCTACTTCAGCCTACGAGATTTCATCTACGGAGGAAACTCAACAAACACCATTTGAAAGTCGGCTTTACTGTTTTCTTTAGCTCTCATCTGCGCGCGATCGGCAGTTGCGTGGTGCGATGCCATTCCCGTACGCTGTGTAACCTGAAGACCGCAGGTGCCACCGACTTTACACCCTCCAGGAGCGCTCCGGGGGGGACGGCCCCAAGCCGCAATTTGAGGGAAAGTTATGCTGGCGCCTGGCAACCCCAGCGAACCTCTGGAGTAAGTGCTTCGCTTCCCTGGGAACTCAAAAAGGAAAAGCTGCTCGTGATCTAGGAACCGGGTTCTCAACCGGAAGTTTTGCTTTGCGGCTTGAGCACTTCCTGTTTGGTAACTAAGGGCGCGGGACGGTTGTTAGGGCTGCGGTGGTAATTACAGGGGAGCTTTGCGGGTGCGGGGGTTGCCTCGCGTGCTACTCCCGGGCTTTACGAGCAAGCGGATCTTTTCTCCACAGCCTGTCAGAGGTCCCCTGTCCGTTTGCCATCATGAGTAGCGAATTCTTGGCGGAGCTGCACTGGGACGATGGGTTTGCTATCCCGGTGGCAAACGAGGAGAACAAGATACTGGAAGATCAGGTAAGGACCGGGCGAAGAAGGCGGGGTAAAGAGGAGGAAGTTTCTGGTTGGCAGGAATACCCTTTTATTCCTCCCCTTTCCTTCCCGAGTTTCTTCTCTAACTCTCACCCGCACCATCTTCCTCCCTCCCGTGCCTGCCTGCCCTTTTCGGAACTTGGCTAAGCATTACAAAATATAAATTGAAACGATAATTGATACTCAGGACATAAAGCCTGAGTCGTTACTCTGTTCTCTCCTGCTCCACGTAATCATTTCCAGCCTCGTGGGCAGGAGAGGAAAGGCTGGTTCCCGGGTCCGCTTTTCCTTCCTCAGAATTAAGCGCGGCTCGCAAAGGGACTTAACGCGGTTTTCATAGCAACAGTTGTTGGCGGATGTTTATAAACAAAACACGTTCTGGTTGACATTTCTTTTTGAGTTTCTGCCTATGACATTTAAAGTTGAAAGTGACTCGAAGAAGTGTTTTCAAGAGGAACGTTCTAGTAAGAATGTAAAATGTACAGTTTGCAGCTTTTCAAAGTGAGAATGTTGTCACAGAGTGATATAAAATATTTTACGTTGTAAGGAATATTTTACACCAGCTTGCAACCAATGCATAATAGTTGCTAAAAATAAAATTGCAACCGGCTAGAAAACTTTTAAAAACCTTTAACAGTCAGTCTAAAGTTCCATCACATGGCAATGTGTTGTGAAGAGGGTCCAAGAAGAATGGATGATGATTACATTACTTTATAGAATGGAAGAGAAGGTTTTCTTCCCTCTGAAAAATGAAAATTCTTCACTGTTTTTTGAAGATTTTTTTTCAAAAATACTCTGACATATTTACTCATGTCTAAATTAGATGGCTGCAGTTGTTTGTTTAAATGAAGGGCAACATTAGGGAAAATAAGAGATTTAGCACTGAGTACTGAGGAATAATAATATTAAGAAGTATCCAGCCCTGGGTTCAAATCCTAATTATCATCAGTGAGCCTGTTTCTTCTTCTATAAACCGGAAATAAATAAAATAATTATTTCACAGAATTGTTATACAGCTCTAAGCACATAAATATAGGTTAAATTTCCATTCAAATGTTAGTTTTTGGTATTATTACCATAATATTTGTCTCATATGATTTTATATACATAGTAATTATATTAGCTATTTAAAAAATATTACAGAGCAATAGAAGAAGAGTGAAGGTTCATAATCACTTCACCTGAATAAACAATGGCATTAAAAAAGCAACTCTGGTAAGTTTAAGCCATTCAACAGAACAGAAGGGTATAAAATAGAAGAGTATTCCCTCCTCGAAATACCTACTGTTGACTATAGAAGTGTGACTATCATGACATTAAACAAATATTCCAGACATCATTATCTACAGATATGTAGATAGAAAAGACAAACAGAAGTATAAGAATGCAGTCCTACTATATGTGCTGTTTTTAACATAACAATTTTTATTTAATAAAAAATTTAATTTTACTTAAGAGACAAAGAGAGGGATTGTTGAATTTCAAATAAATATTACTTGATTACAACAGATAGTGATTGCTAAAAAATTTTCTTAACATTAGGAAAAACTATAAGAAAAAAATGAAATGGTTAAATTATTGTTTACAAAAATGCTTTGTTTCATTTGTTGGCTGATTCCCTGATCTTTCATTTTTCATTTTTAAAACAAAGAAATTAACTCTCACACTTCTTTCCACCATCTTTTACCCCATTAAAAAAAAGTGGTTTTATTATTTTTATATTATCAAGGTTTATTTTATTTTCATTCTGTTCAGTGTCCTTAATTTACTACAAGTGTTTAGTCTTAGTTTTATTTTTAAACTGATTTAATGGTCCTTAATGCAGCCACTTTTACTCAGTTTACCTTTTCTTGGATTTTTCACTTTAATTCGTCTTTTGACTGGTTGGGTTCTATCCTTAAGTAGTTGTTTCAAGAAGGGTCCGTAGTACTGTGCTTTTGATTCCTTGCATCCTTAGTTGCCAATTGATTTCTTGCATTGCCTGCTTTATATTCTTTAAATCATAGTATCAGATCTTCAAGATACCTTCTTTCTCCCTCCACTCCTTCCTTCTAGAGTCCTGTATTTTTTTAATATGGATTTTTTCCCACAGGCCTATTTTCCAACTGTTAACTTGAGAATTTCCTTTATTCCTTTACTGGGTTGATGCTCTATTTCCTAGATCACATATCTTCTTTCTTGGGTTATTTCCTTGTTTTGATGAAATACTTTCTTGTGTGTCCCTGAGAAGGGTGTATAGGAGGAAAACTCCGAATCTGAAAATGTTTTTTATTTAATCTCACATTTGATGGTTTTGGCTAGGTAGAATATTCTAGGTTAAAAATATTTTTTCTACAGAACTTGCAAAGTATTATCTTCCAGTAGTGATGTTGATGAGTAATCTGATATTAGAATGATTTCCATTTCCATTTCTTTGTAGGTTACAATTTTAATCTCTGGAAGCTTTTAGGGTTTTGTGTCATTTTTACATTGCAACTCTATCAACCATATTTTTAATTTTCAGGTTATTTGCTTGTTGCTTTTTTGTAGCGTATGGTCTTGTTTTAGAAGTACCATATCAGTCTGGCTGAGTGTGTGTGTGCATGTGTGTGTGTGTTTAGTTCTTTTTTGTGTCTTGAGTTATGTTTCCTCTGGGATCTTTTTGTTTGTTTGTTTATCTTGATATCCCTCACATAATGTAAGTTTTCAGTAAGTATCTGGTGGTCCTTGCATGACCTTTTATATTTAAAAGAGGCAAAAAAATATTGTCTGGGAATTCTGTGAGGAAGAAATTATCAGCTTGTGGAGAGTTAGTCATTATGCTTTCATTAAAAAAAGCAGACGCTGGGACGCCTGGGTGGCTCAGTCAGTTAAGCGGCTGCCTTCGGCCCGGGTCATGATCCCAGGGTCCTGGGATCGAGTCCCACATCAGGCTCCTTGCTCAGCAGGGAGCCTGCTTCTCCCTCTCTCTCCTTCTGCTTGTGCTCTCTCTGTCAAATAAATAAAATCTTTAAAAAAAAAAAAAGGGCGCCTGGGTGGCTCAGTTGGTTAAGCGACTGCCTTCGGCTCAGGTCATGATCCCGAGTCCCGGGATCGAGTCCCACATTGGGCTCCCTGCTCAGCGAGGAGCCTGCTTCTCCCTCTGACCCTCCCCCATCTCATGTACTCTCTCTCATTCTCGCTCTCTCAAATAAATAAATAAATCTTAAAAAAAAAAAAAAGCAGATGCTTTTGCTCTGGGTTCATTATGCAATCATAAAAGTTATAACTGATGAAGAAAATAAAAGTCATAAAGCTGTATGCACCAAACAATGCAATAACTAAGTACATAAAAGTAAAAGCTGTTATAAATACAAGTAGACTTGGACAAAAAAATACAGTTGTAGTAGGATACTTCAATATTGACCTCAGAACTGGACAATTCTAATAGACAAAAATAAGGATATAGAGTTATGAATAATACAATAAAAATAAAAACAGAGTATATATATCCCTTAAATAAACACTTTAAAGAATATGTCTGTAAAATATTTATAAAGGTGGATCATTTACTATATCAGAACAAAATCCTTAATGCACTAAAAGTGAATGATAAACCTTAAAGACATTATATGAAGTGAAATAAGGTGGACATAAAACACTGTATGGTTCCACTTATATGACATACCTAGAGTAGTCAAATTCATAAAGATATAAGTAGAATGGCAATTTCCAGGGGCTGGGGAGAAGGGGAATGGAGAGTTAGGGTTTAATGGGCAGAGTTTCAGTTTGGGAAGATGAAAATTTTCAGGTGGATGGTGACAGTGGTTGCACAACACATGAATGTACTTAATGCCACTCTTAATGTATACTGAAAAATGGTTAAAATGATAAAAAGTAGGTTATGAATATTTTACCACAATTAAAGAAATGAGTGGTAGGAATTTTATAGGCCACATTCTTTAATCATAACCAATAGCATTTATAATAAATAATTTTAAAAATTATCCTCCATTGTTATGGACTGATATCTTCCTCACCCCGTTCATATATTGAAGCCCTAATCTCCAATGTGATGGTATTTGGTAGTGGGGCCTTTGGGGAGGTAATTAGGTTTAGATGAGGTCATGAGAATGTGGCTCCCATGATGCGATTAGTATCTTTATATGAAGCGGAAGAGAGACCAGAACTCTCTCTCTCCACCATTTGAGTATGCAGCTAGAAGGCACTGTCTGTAAGTCAGGAAGAGAGATTTCACCAGAACCAAATTGGCTAGCACCTCAGTCCTGGACTTCCCAGCCCCCAGAACTGTGAGAAATAAATTTCTGATCTTTAAGCCAAACAGTGTATGATATTTTGTTATGGCAGCCTGAGCTGACTAAGACATCCGTCTTAAGTACTTAGGCCAATTTCTCAGATATATATTCCTGGATAGCGCTTCTATCATAGAGAAATTGAAAGGGAAAGTCACCTTTTAGAAAACAATAAAAAGAGAGTGCTTCACACCTGTATTCATTGGAAATAGCAAAAATCTTACTTAGAGAAAACTTACAGGCTTAAATGCCTTCATTTTTAAATCAATGCCTTAGTTGGCTTGGGTTGCTATAACAAAATACCATAGACTGAGTGACTTAAAAAACAGACATTTATTTTTCAAGGTTCTGAAAGGCTAGAAGTTGAGATCAGGGTGGAAGTGGGTTGGGTTCTAGTGAGAGCCCTCTTCCTGGCTTGCACATGGCTGCCTTCTCACTTTGTTCTCACATGGCAGAGAGAAAGAAAGCTCTGGTCTCTCGTTTTTATAAGGAGACTAATTCCATCATGAGGGTCCTACCTTCAGGTCCTAATTTAAACCTATTTACCTCCCAAAGGCCCACCTCCACATACCATCACATTGTGGGTAAGGGCCTCAACATATGAATTTGAGGGTGACACAAACAGTCCATTGTAATCCATGTGACAAAAAGTAAGGAAATTAAGAACTGCTCTTAATAAATTTAAAAAAGAACAACAGGGGCACCTCGGTGGCTCAGTTGGTTAAACAACTGCCTTCGGGTCAGGTCATGATCCTGGAGTCCCTGGATGGAGTCCCACATTGGGCTCCCTGCTCAGCGGGGAGTCTGCTTCTCCCTCTGACCCTCCCCCCTCATGCTCTTTCTCTTTCTCTCTCAAATAAATAAATAAAAAATCTTGAATAAAAAAGAACAACAAAGTAAACAAAAGAGGGAATTAAAAGTAAAACTGGGGGTGCCTGGGTGGCTCAGTTGTTAAGTGTCTCCCTTTGGCTCGAGTCATGATCCCAGGTTCCAGGGATCGAGCCCCACACCCTGCTCCCTGCTCAGCGGGAAGTTGGCTTCTCCCTCTCCCACTCCCCCTGCTTGTGTTCCCTCTCTCCCTGTCTCTCTCTCTGTCAGATAAATAAATAAAATCTTAAAAAAAAAAAAGTAAAACTGAAATGAAATAAAAACCAAAAATACATATTTAATGTTACTTAGTATGTTTAATAAAATATAGGATATAACATATAGGACATTACTATTTATTTTCTTTCTTCCTTATTTAAAAATTCAAATATTGTGGATTTTGTTGTATACCTCCTGGGTTGTAGCCCCAACTTTGGGAACCACAGATCAAGACTATAAGAAAGGATTTTTTTTGTTTTTTTGAGTTTTTGTATTGCTTTGAGGGGTGATATATTCTCATTGTCCTGAGAATCTATCTTGTAATTTCCTAAAGTTTTTTTTGTTTGTTTGTTATGCATTTGCATTGTTTTGTTTCTACTCAGGGTTCTAATTCAATGACACACAAAATACATTAACAATAAGGGTCTAAGCACAGGAGAGTTGTTCTGTACAGCTTGCCCTAAATCTGTTGGTTTTGCATAGGAGTTCGGGGAGGAGCTGTTATGCCTGGTATCCCACTACTTATCAAATTTATGGTTCATGTTCTATGTTTTTGTTATATCTGTTGTTATGCTCTGGTTTGCTCTAGAGATCTTGTGGTTTGATTATGGAATAAAATACCATTTTTTCCCTTAAAGTACTGCTGTATGAAAATTGCATCTTAGCAGTGGTCCCTGAGAGATTTCTGAGAAATCTGAGAGATTTCTATTGTCTTAATGTAGTGCTAATTTTCCTACAGTAATCTCTAAATTACCGCACATATTATTTACAGTTGTCAAAGATGCAGGAGGAAAGGTCAAGCTTGCAAGATCAGCTACGTGACTATGAAGATAGAATTAATGCTATGACTTCTCACTTCAAAAATGTTAAGCAAGAATTTTCATTTACACAGGTACAGTTATGCCAACATAATGTTGATTATGCCATGTGTAGTCATGGAACATTTCACATTGCATTCACATCTGTGATTTTATTTTAGAGATACAACGGGAAACTTTAGCATAGCTAAACTATTGTGAACATAACCTTGAACTTGAAAGTAGGTAGAAAAAAAAAGGCTTTGAGGAACTCACTGCTGCCACCGATTTCAGGAATAACTAATGCATTTGAAAGAAGAAATCATTCAAACAGTCTAATGTAATATTAGGCATCAGATTATATGAGAAGGGTTTAGTGATCAAACAATGATTTTAAGCCATAATAGACCTAATGTAACACATGATAGAATTTCCACCTCCTTTTCACTTTTTCGGTGCAATCCACTGGGCCTTTTTGAGTGGAAGCACATAGTTCACACACTTCAGTAGCCCTTAGGGCACCATGGTATTTTAGGATCCTGAGATGATGGAAAAGTTAAATTATATTTAGGGTATTATTTAAGATAACCAGGGAAAGTATAATCCATTTTAGAATATAACTATAAATAATAAACTTAAAACTTAGAATGATTAGTTAAGTAAGCTTCTATTTTATGGGCAGTTTGTTCATGTGTAGAACATCATTCCCTGATGATGCCTAGCAAATCAGCTCAGCAAATCAGCACTGGAGAGTTTACTAACTTCCATTTCAAACTATTTTTTTAAAAATGCCTCTACCTTTCTTTGAAAGATATGTAATTCTTAAAAGTGAACAAAGCATGCTTTTGATGCCAATTTATAATTAATACAGATAAGTAACCATTTTATTGTGTATAAATCTAATTAGGAAGCTACAAGTTTAATGAACTTTTAAAAGCAATACTTGAAATTTTTGAATCCTGATGTGATTAACTAATAAACTGTTTGGAACATCTTTTCTTAAAGTTACTAAATCACTGAGTTGGGGATTTGAAAGTCAGAGACTCTCTGTAGGTATATTTCATTATAGTTAAACCTTAATTAAATCAGATAATAGACACAAAAGACAATAAACTTCCTATACACTTTAAAAATAATACTGATGGTGATAACTTTGAAGCACTACAAACTCAACAGTCAACAAATACTATTTTACTAAGTAAAACTTAACACAAAGGCATGATGGTTTGTTAATATATTCTGGGAAATATTTATAACCATCAGTGTTTACATTGTCATTTATAAATTATCTCTTAATTAGAATGTATAATCAGTTCATAGAAACATCCCATCTCCCAAGTATTTTTAAATTTTATTTCTTATTTTTTAGGTAAGTAATGAGTTATATCTTTTTTAAGTCTTACCATTATTAACTTTGGTTTTCTTCAATTTCCCTAGACTAACATAATACCTGAAAATTGCTGACAACAGTATTTTCTCCTAGGTCATTCCATGAACTGACTTTCTTACAACTAGTACACAACACAAAGTACACTGAATCATAAAGTCTAACATGGTTTAGGTTTCAGAGAAGTAGAATTAATAGTACTTAATCTCAGTATTTTGTGGGAACTTTTTTGGGGGGCTAATGGATTATTATAAATATTTTATAATATTAAAAATTAAAACGTTTTTCTATCTCGTAAATTATTCTGTAGTCTCTTTGTAAAGCCAGGGAGCATGAGATTGAAAGTGAAGAGCATTTTAGGATCATTGCTGAAAGAGAACTGGGACGAGTGAAGGATGAAATCCAACGACTGGAAAATGAAATGGCTTCAATACAGGAAAAGAAAAGTGATAAGGAAGTATGTATTGAAATGTTACTTAAAATTTTGTGCTATTGTTCTTTCTTCCCTAACCAAACAAACAGTGATTTTTTTTCTGTATGAGAAAGACATTCATTAATTTCCTGACATTTATTTACATTGTTTTTTGGACAATGAAAGGCATGTAGAGTTGTCATTTGAATGCAACAATAGAATGTTATATTTATTATCCCACTATTCATTTACCAAATAGTCATTGAGCCACCATGTGCAGAGTACCACACTGGCTGTCTATTATGTGATACTAGTCATAATTTATTCAGAAGTATCATATGATACTAGGCATAATTTATTCATATATTTTTAAAAGGCCACATTAAAAAACTTACTTTTAATATTGAGTTTTCATTTTTCATTCAAACTGTTTACCTTTCATATTAATTTAGCCTGTAACTCTAATATTAAACTACTATAACCTCTTTTTCTCTTTTCCTTTGTTTTTAGTTGCCTGATTTGGGAGTTCATTCCAAATTCAATTCTTCTCTTTACATGTGCATATACATATAGAAATGCACATGTATATGCATATGTATACATACACATTTTATTATATTAATTTGTATTTGCATATTGATCTGTTTTCTTTTATGACTCTAGATTTGTTAAATGAATGCATTTACAGAAAATTTTTTTTTATTAGTTTCAGAAGTAGAATTCAGTGATTCATCAGTTGCATATAACATCCAGGGCTCATTATATCAAGTGCCCTCCTTAATGCCCATCACCCAATTATCCCTTCCCCCTACCCACCTCCCCTCCAGCAACCCTCAGTTTGTTTCCTAGAGTTCAGTGTCTCTTATGGTTTGCCTCCCTTTCAATTTCCATCTTATTTTATTTTTCCTTCCCTTCCCCTATGTTCATCTGTTTTGTTTCTTAAATTCCACGTATGAGTGAAATCATATGGTATTTGTCTTTCTCTGACTTATTCACTTACAGAAGTATTTTTATCTTCTTAACAACTGTATTTATTTCAACTAAAACTACTTTCAAAATTTCTGTAGAAGAAGCCTCTTAGAGGCAAGAATCTGATTGGAAATGGAGCTGATGGGGACTTGACTTGGGCTTGAGTTAGCATATCAAGCACATTATTTTTACTAAGATTGTATATCCACATGGGATGGATTTGGTGGAGTGACTGACATTAGAGATTGCTCTGGGGGGGGACTTTCCCTAAAGCCTTTTTAAGCAATCTTTGACTCAGCTGTTATTCTCAACCTTGTATAATCGTTTCCCCTCTATTTTACAACTGAAGAATTAAATACAAGTGTGGTTGTTATATAATGAAATATGGTGCATTATATATATCTGGAAGTTGGGAAAGGGACAGGTTTTCTTCTTTCCTTTTTAATATGTCCTGTAGTATGTAATTTTATGTTTTATTTTAGTTTGTGTAGTAAATAATATTCTGTAATCTCTCCCTGCCCCCTTTCTTTGGAAATTAGAATAACATATTTAAAACTACTCAAAAATTGGATGGTTTAAAATGTCAAATGAACTGGGACCGGCAAGCATTGGAAGCCTGGTTAGAAGAATCAGCTCGTAAAGATAGTGATGCCCTCACTCTTCAGAAGTATGCACAACAAGATGATAGTAAAATTAGGGTGAGAAATTATAAATTGTAATCTTAGGTTTTCTCTGAATCTGTAGTATGTGAACCTTTTTTCTGAATTACATTTGTAATTTAAAAGCCGTAGTTCTTAAACTTTCTTTGGGTCAGAGACTCCTTTGACAGTCTAATAAAGCCAAGGATCCTCTCTTTAGAAAAGTGACTATACTCAAATACTCATAAAATTTTGCTGAAACCCTCTGACCATTTAGGGATCCACAGACTCCAGGTTAAGAATCCTGATTGAGAAAAGTTTTCAAAAGCATTTCAGAGAAGAAAGTTTTATATTAGAATTAGTAATTTAACTTCTTTTGTCTAAATAATAGTTTGAATGTAATATACAGTGTTTGCTGATTTGAGACTATAGTGCTATTATTTAATATATTATTATAACCATTACTTAAAATCTACTTGTAATAAATGTATTAATACATTAGTATTATAAACATGCTATTTTCTAATAGATTTAATACCAAATGCATTATTTTAAATAATTTTAAAAGGCAAATTATTGTTTATCTTTTTTTCTAACTTTAAAAAGTATTAAAAGTCTTTTTAGAAACAATTGAGTTTTCATTACAGCCCTTTGGGGTTAAAAGATAATGTATGTATTATTTTGTAATTGTTTTAGATAGCAAGTAAGTGTGTATCTATAATAGTACTTAATGTGAGATATATTAATAGCTTTTAAGTTAAATGATAATTTTGAATATTTTTACATGAAACTACATCATAGGCACTGACCCTGCAATTAGAAAGACTGACTTTGGAATGTAATCAGAGAAGAAAGGTACTTGACAACGAACTTACGGAGACTCTAAGTGCACAGGTTAGTTTAGTGAAGATTTTTATTTCTTAATTGTCAAAGGGATGTATGCAATAGCACTTAAATTCACAAAAATGTTATTTGCTCTCTATTTGACAGTTAGAATTGGATAAAGCAGCACAAGATTTTCGTAAGATTCATAATGAAAGACAAGAACTCATTAAACAGTGGGAGAACACAATAGAGCAGATGCAGAAGAGAGATCGAGACATTGATAACGGTGCCTTGGTAAAGTAGTTGTTTGGTCCTTGCGATGTTCAACTGTGTTATTCTCTTTTGTATTTAACTCATTCATTTCAAATGTAACTCACATTGTTATTTGAAAATCATTTATAGTAGGGTTCAATAGTTTTGGTAAATGTTTTTCAAAGCTGACTCTTTCCATTTAGATATGTGATTTTATGAAGGTTATTTACTTAGGGTATTATAATGCTGAAGACTAGATCCTGCCACTCTGAAATGTGGAACAAGAGAAAGTCAATAGATAATGTTAGTGCAGTAAAGCCAATGCTCTGACTTACACATGGTTGCCCAAGGTGCTTTGGACTTAATATATGTACTGTTTGGAGTAATCACGGGTGTAGGGAAATGAGTCTCATGGTTGGCCAAGAAACAAAAAGGGAGAGTCAGGAAAGAAGCCTAGACTGTGATAAAGTTTCACTTTTGAAACTGAGGCACCCATAATAGGGTAGAAGCTTGGAAGGGAAGGAGTACTACACTGATTAAACATGGACCTAGTGTTATTTTTGCTACTTTCAGAGGTAATTTAGGAGACGTTTTTTGGAAAGTCATTAAAGGGCAAAATGGTGGTGAGTAAAAATGGGAAGATTAGGGAGAGTTGGGAAGGAGAGGAATTGAGGTTATGTTAACTTCCTTTCTGCGTCTACTCCATGGAAAAGCAAGCAGCTTAGGTCATTGGGGTTTGGAATTCTCATATCTGTATGAGATTTACTTGCTATATGTGACTTATATGTCAATTATTCTTTTATTTTAAATTTCTATAAGTAACCAACATTTTATCAACAAAATGGCCTATGACTTCCTTGGAGGGACAAGGGAGAACCAGTCTTAACTATGAGTTCCTCTTAATTCTTAATACTGATCTTGGTTTCAGACATCAAGTCCTGACTCTTCCTCTGTGTAGATCAAATGTGACAGATCCAAGATTGCAGATCCACAATTGCATTCTCATACAACCCCACAGCTGAATTGACTCAGCCTTCCGATTTGGCAGAATATACAACTTGTAGCTCTCTGGTCATATTCACTATGGTTCCTTATGGACATCTCCTGGTTGTCTTTGTTGTAAGGGAATAGGATGGGTGCTAAGAAGTGGCTCCATATGTAGTGGTATGCTTCTGAGTGTTTAACAACTGACTCCCCATTTGTAGCATTTCTGATTTCTGTGGGGAAACTACTTCCATACCAATGTGACTCCATTCAACACGGAGCTGAGAAGAGATGTGTCAGTCAGTGCTGGTAAGCCAGTGAGATCCAGTTCACACCACCAGAGGATTTGATCTTTTGTTCCTTTTCCTCCAAAACATTTCCTGCCTTCTTAGTGTCTTCTTGGCAGGAGTCTGAGCATATGAACCTGAAATTGGCTTCTTGAGAGAAACTTTTACATTATATAGAAAAGGAAAAATATTTTTCTATTATGCTTTTATTCCAGTGTAGAAATTTTGGGATATTACTGTACTTATCAGCATCACCTACAAAAAACTTAACTGTGAGTAGATGAGAATGTTGAAGTAGGTATTAAAGTATCTGTTTAAGTTGTAGAAAATCAATATAAGGCAGGAAGTTTTAGAATGATCATTTGACCTACATAAACTTAGGATGTTTTGACCTGTCTTTGGTTGAATGAACACAGTATATATATAGATTGCTACATTATAGAGTGTTAATTGTTATAGACAACATATGGGATTAAATAAATTTACAATGCTTTTTAAATGTAATGCATTTTAGGGGTGCCTGGGTGGCTCAGTCGGTTAAGCGTCTGCCTTCAGTTCAGGTCATGATCTCAGGGTCCTGGGATCGAGCCCCAAGAGTCGGGCTCCCCGCTCAGTGGGGAGCCTGCTTCTCTCTTTCCCTCTGTCCTCTGCCCTACCCCACTCCCCCACTGCCTTACCCCACTCCTCCTTCTCCCTCCCCGTCTGCTCTACCCCACTCTGCTGCTCATGTTCTCTCTCTCTCTAAAATAAATAAAATCTTTAAAAAAATGTAGTACATTTCAAATATATATCCATTTAGTATGCTAATATGTACAGTATTACATACAGCATTTCTAAAACTTACTCATTTCAGAACATACACCCTCCCCCAACTCAATTTTCTGGGATTGTTTGGTGGGACCCGATTTTGGAATTACATCTTAGGGTAAAATTATCTTTTTCCTCCAATTCTTCTAACATGTTGCTATCAACATCACTTATAAAAACCACATATGAGCTTTTTATTCTTCAGCTCTAAAATCTTCTTTGTTCCACATTGCTTAAAAATTGAACCTCTTTAACATGGCAGTTAAAAAATTGATTTTTTTCACAATTGGGCCCTAACCTCTACCTTTCCAGCCTCATTCCTTTCATTTGTACCCACCCCTTCTTAATATATCCCCATTCCATCCCTGCCCTCCCTACGATTTAACCACATTAGAGTGTTTATGCATCTCCATTTATCTTTTAGGCCTAACATAAAAGAAGCCTCTTAAGTAATGCCTTTTAGTAATTCCTCTTGGGTAGACTTCATCATCTCTTTTTCCCATGGTGCTTTGTCCACATCTCAGTTACTACCTTGTATATGCTATTTATTTTTATTCTCCAAGACCAGCAAAAGGCCTGAGTGAAGACATTCCTATTGAAACCAATAACTAAAATATTATTCTCAAAAGGTGAAAAAAAAAATGGTCCTGTGAAATATTTGGAAAAAAATAATTGAAATCCAACTTTCTACGTGAAAATATTCAACAGTGTTATATTTTTTAGATATCACCTTTTGTTTATAAAAGCTTGACATTTTTTTCATCTCTTTAGCAAAGTACCAGATGAAAGAAAACAAGATCTTCAAAAAAAAATGAGCTTATAGATACTGATGTGTAACATATTAATACTTTGTTTTTATTCATATAAAAATAGACTTTCTCTCTCTTTTTTTTTTTGAAGTAGGCTCCACGCCCTGTGTGGAGCACATTGCAGGGCTCGAACTCACGACCTTGAGATCAAGAGCTGAGATCAAGAGTTGGATGCTTAACTGACTGAGCCACCCAGGTGCCCCCAAAATAGACTTTTTTAAAGAAAATATTGTCTTAAGAAGTTTTGATAAAATACTGAATGTAGAAAAATGAAAACTAAATTCCTTTTTGTTTTGTTCTTCGCATTAAACATATATTTAACATATTTTTAAACCTTAGGCATTAGCAAGGATAAAGCAGGAAATAAGAGAAAAAGAAAATTTGGTTAAAGAAAAGATCAAGTTTTTGGAAAGTGAGATTGGGAATAATACAGAGTATGAGAAAAAAATTTCTGTTGCTGCTCGTAAACTTTTAAAATGTAGAACGGAGTATCAGCATCATGAAAATAACAGAAATCAGCTGAAAGATGAGGTATGTCAACTAAAAAGACTGGCTTGTGTGTTTATGACAAATTACTAAAAAATAAGCATAAAAGCTCTCTTTTGATTAAGGAATTGCCTTCTAGTTCTTTTTTCTTATGTCCCTTCATGTTGTGGAACTTTTAGGGTACTGCAGTTGAGCCCTGCTTGGTGAAAGCAACGGGGGGGTGGGATGGGGGGAGGTGCCAGGCATACCACAGGTGGTGTGAAGGTCTTCTCCTGGAGTCGTACAGCACACAACTTGCCCAACACATACGGAGTTTTGTAAGTGACTTGAGGCAAAAGGCTCCCGAAGGTCTAGACTAAAATCATGATTATAACTGGCCCATGGGCAGATGTGAAGATGAAATTGACATTAGTGATAACCTGAAGTGTCTTTTCAGTGCTACATGTGTATGGTGATTTTGACTCAAATTCTAGGTGGAGTTATTTGCTTAAGTTCAGTTTCTCCCCTTGTGAAGGGATAATATTTCAGTCTAGTAGTGAGACAGTGTAGTGGTAAAATACCTTGAAACAGAGAATGAAACTTCTGCTTTGTTCTTTTCTTCTTTTGCAGGCACACATGGCCAACTAGATTGTTCCATAGGGAGTGTTAGTGATCCCTTTAGTTAGCAATAAAGGGATCTTTTTGAAATTTGTGCCTTGAGGCCACATTGTTTGAAGTTACTACTGTTTAGGCAGGAAATTGGAATATTGTAGAGCATTTCATTCTACAAGTTGTTATACTTTTTATTTCTGATAAAGAAGGAAAGATTTTTTTTCTGTCCAAAAAGAATAATTACTTACGGTCCTAAAATAATAAAATAAGCAAATTTCTTGCCTAAATTAAATGTCACTGATAATAGTTCATTCTTAAAAATTTTTAAGTTTAAACCAATTGCATTAAAGAATGCAGGGATTCATTCATTCATAATTTGTTTATTGAGATATAATTCACATATAATAATTTGCCCTTTTAAAGTATACAATTCAGTGGTTTTTAATATTTCATAGAATGTGCAACCATCACCACTATCTAATTTTTTAGACTATCTTTGTCTTTCAAAAAGAAACCCCTTGCCCATTAGCAATCACTTTGCTTCCTTCCTGCTACTCAGCCCTGGCAACTGCTAATCTACTTTCTGTCTCTGTGGATTTGCCTATTTTGGATATTTCATATAAATGAAATAATATACTATGGAGCACTTCATGTCTGGATTCTTTTACTTACATAATGTTTTCAAGGTTCATCCATGTTGTAGTATGCATCAGTACTTCATTCATTCATTTCTTTCCTCCAAATTTTAAAATTGAGGTAAAATAGGGGCACCTGGATAGCTCAGTTGGTTAAACGTCTGCCTTCAGTTCAGATCGTGATCCCAGGGTCCTGGGATTGAGCCCTGAATCGGGCTCCTCGCTCAGTGGGGAATCTGTTTCTTCCTCTGCCCCTCCCCCTGCTCATGTTCTCTCTCTCTCAAATAAATAAATAAAATATTTTAAAAATTGAGATAAAGTACACATACCGTACACTTTACCATCTTAATCATTTTCAAGCATACAGTTCAGTGGTATTAAATACGTTCCTAATGTTAGGCAACCATTACCACCATCCATCTCCATAACTCTTTTCTTCTTGTAAAACTGAAACCGCATACTAATTAAACAGTAACTCCCCATTCCACCCCTCCTCCCAGCTCCTAGCAAGTACCATTCTACTTTCTGTCTCTATGAGACTACTCTAAGTACTTCATATGCATGAAATCAGTATTTATTGTTTTGTGACTGGGTTATTTCATTTATTTCACTTAGCATAATGTCCTCAAGGTTTATTTATGTTGTAGCAGATGTCAAATTTTTGTTACTTTTTAAGGCTGAATACCATTCCATTGTATGTGTATATCATGTTTTGCTACTCCATTTATCTGTCAGCGGACATTTGGGCTGCTGCTATGTTTTAGCTATTGTGAATAATGCTGCTATGAACATGGGTGTACAATTATCTCAGAATTGCTGGATGGTACTTATGGTAATTATGTTTTTAATTTTTTGAGGGACCACCATACTGTTTTCTGTAGTGGCTGTACCATTTTATATTCCCACCAACGGTGCACAAAAGTTCCAGTTTCTCCACATTCTTGCCAACACTTGTTCTTTTCTTTTTTTCTTTTTTCTTTTTTTGGTAGTAGCCATCCTTATGGAAGGGTGTGAGGTGGTATTTTATTGTAGTTTTGATTTGCATTTCCATAATGATTGATGCTGTTGAGCATTTTTTATTAGTATATCTTCTTTGGAGAAATGTCTATTCAAGTCCTTTGCTCATTTTTGGATCAGTTTGGGGTTTTTTTTTTGTTGGTGGTGGTGAGTTTTAGAAATTATCTATATATTCTAGATATTAATCCCTTATCAGGTATATGATTTGCAAGTATTTTCTCCATTTTATGGAGTACTTTTAACTGTGTTGATATTGTCTTTTGATGCACAGAAGTTTTAAATTTTGATGAAGTCCAATTTGTCTTTGTTTCTTTTGTTGCCTGTCATATCCAAGAAATTATTGCCAAATCCAATACTGTGAAGCTTTTGCTCTAAGTACCTTTCATGCATCTATGTAGGACTCTATAATTTGCCAGTGTCATGAAATTAGTCATTTAAAATGTAATATCAGATCGAAAAGAAAAACTGGTTATATGGATTACAGCAACATGGCCACTGTATTTATAGGTGTGATGTAGGTTAAAAACTAACATGTTCAGAATAGAACTTCCCAAAAATAAAATTAATTTATAAGATGTAGAGTAACTATGTAATTTTCGTCTGTTAACTAATGAATAGCTGGATTCTTTAAAAGCCACTGTGAATAGAAGTTCCAGTGATTTAGAAGCTATAAGGAAAAATATTTCCAAAATAAAGAAGGACATTCATGAAGAAACAGCAAGGTAAGAAAAAAGATACTTAAATATGTTTATAGTTTTTGACTACTTATGTTTTTTTAAAGATTTTATTTATTTATTTATTTATTTGAGAGAGAGAGAGAGAGAGAACAAGTAGAGGGAAGAGCAGAGGGAGAGGGACAAGATGCAGGGCTCGATCTCATGACCCTCAGATCACACCCTGAGCTGAAATCAAGAGTTGAATGCTTAACTGACTGAGCCACTCAAGCTCCCTAGTTTTTGACCACTAGAAAAATTATTAAATATTTAAGCTTTTGTTAAATAATTGTAAACTGATGGCTACTAAATTATTAAACTTGAAAAAAAGTTTTTCCTGGATTTTTCTTTGTAAAGGCTTAGGAACAATATTTTTATGACTTATTAAATATATAAGGTTTCCAGAAAGGTAATAAAAAGGTTTAGGTTTATGGCCTAAAGAAACCTAAAGAAACCTTCAAGTTATATGAAGAAATCTTAGGATAAGCTATTCCATGTTTGTATTACTTTTTAGACATGTTTTCTTTTTTTTTCCTCATAAATTCTCTCTAGGTTACAGAAAATTAAAAATCATAACCAGATTGTAAGAAAAAAATTAAAGCAGATAACTGAGAAAACAATGTCTGTAGAAGAGAGAGCTACCAATTTGGAAGATACGCTAAGGGAGGAGGAAAAAAGTGTAAAGGTAAAGTTTAGTTGTAGTTCTTAAACAGTCACAGAATCTAGCAATAGTGAATTAGACTCTTGCAATTAGGGAGTAGGAGGTCTTTTAAGAGGCTCTGCTTTCTGGTGTGACCACATTTGTAATCAGAATTTTGAGTTGTTGGACCCCCTTTTTGTATGTGGCTTCTGAAGATGTTTCTGGCCTTCTCTCTTAAAGCTTCTACTTCTCCTTTTGCTTTACTTTCAGCATTTGCCTTGGCTGTCTTCTTTCAAAGGTAGCCCTCCACCTGTGATCTTGTGCCTTCCCAATGCCTGGTGTGTCTTTGCTTGTCATTCATATATATGCTCTTATATTGCAGACATACCTTGAAAAATGCCCATGTTTTACAATTTATTTCTACCCTTACAGTTGGTTGTCATTTGTTTTTTTTGTTTGTGATCAAATTCCCCCCAATGGTCTATATTCCTTCCCTGTATTTCTTTATCATTTATTATCTCTGACAGTCTGGCACCATTTATAAGTAAATGGACTCTTAAGTGTTCTACTTTACTAACTCTACTGGGCTGTCTTTGGCATCTTGGTAGCATTTAGGCCAATTTTTGAGAAACTGGGAAAGGCTGGTTCACCATTTCCTCTTTGAAAACTTCCAAGTGACTTCTGTGACCTGACACCATTGGCACTACTTCTTGCTTCTACTCTTTCTGAGGAGGCAGCTGAAGATCACGGCAAAATCCCTCATTTGCTAAATATCAAGTATGGTTTCACTTATATTTGGATAAAATCAAGCTTCTTTGGTGTGCTGTTGAATGTTCAAAATCTCTGAATAATGAAGTCATGCAGCAGGCTTGACTTGAGTGGCATAGGAGTCTAAATCACATTATTTAAAAAAAAAAAAAGGTTTTTTTTTTCTCCCAAGAGCTTGATTTTCTGTAGCACTGAGATAGGACAATATTAGAACTTATTAGAAATCTGCAAAGACTGAAATCCATATGAAATAGACCTTTTGATGATGACATTAAAAACTGGTGACATTTTTTAAGAAATTAGCTTAATTAGAAAAAATGGGATTGGCAGCATGTGTGCTACTTGTGCTGTCTCAGCGGTTTATTCATAATCTTGGTTTTTGTAGCTATTTTTCTTTGTTTGGAAAAATCCTAATCCTGTATGTTTTGGAGATGTATTATGTTATTCACCACCAAGCACCGACTTTAAAAGTGCCAAGCAGTCTTTGAGAAGGTCTTAAAACTAATGAAAATTGTCTATTATATAAAAAAGGCATTTTAAAGATTATATTAGATTATATTTCTTAATTTGTCAAAATTTAAATGTGCCAATCACAGATTTTGTTTTCATATTGAGGTTCATTGGTTGCCAAAAGGAAATATACTTATCTGGGCATAAGAGCACAGAGGGAAATTATTTCAATAATTAAAATGATAACTTTCAACAGATCTTGCTTGGCATGGGAGATCTATTTGAAGCCTAGAACACTTGTCGTGGAGCCTTAAGGTCAAGACAGATCTGCCTCTTGAGAAATGAGCGGTGGGAATGGGGGACTGGTTTCTGTTTCCTAGAAGGCTGCACATGTAGGGAGGCCAACTAGAGACAAGTTATGAATGAAGGTGCCAGTAGTGTGTTGGGGCCAGCCCTTACCAGCTCCTAAGAGTTGATAGTTAAATTTTCTGGAATTTTGCAAGTCAGCTGCTAAACATGGCTACTATTAAAAATTAAATTATATAGACTTATAATTAAATACATAATATTAAAAACAAAGTAATAAGCACTCATCACTTCTAAATTATTTTACTAGATTTTACTATTATCTATTTATGCTCTTAAGGTTACTTAAGATTACTTACATTTATTATATCTGTATAGTGGAAATGCTATGTAATGGTCGGCTACTGCGTATCTCTTTCCAACTCTGCATTTAGCAGAATCATGTTAGTAGCTTGAAATTGGCCATAATGGGAATATTTATAAAATGAAAATCAGCTTCTTCCCCCTAACCTGCCATCTATTGGAAAGCTGGTGTTTAAACATTTACCTGCTCACCACTGGATACTGCCCAGAAGAAGGTGGGAGATTGAGCTATGTGATTTCTTTCCTGTAACACCCTCAAGACTTCAGCAAATTCTGTGAACTTAAAAGTTGTGCGTCTCTGCTATATCTAAGGAAACCAGTGGAATGGCCAGGTTATAAGGTGTAGAATGACTTGGTGTAGAATTAAGATGACAGATCAAGTTACCGGAATAGAGTAGATTATAAGAAATGTTGGAGATTTGTTGAAATTGTGGGAAGGGCATTCTTATATTCTCAAGGGCTGAAATGTTGGGGGGTTAATTTATGACCCCCCAGATTATAATGTTCATATAATAAAACATTTCAAGGTATTATAATTTCATTGATCACTATTATTCTTATCATCAGGAAGTGGAAGTTCAATTGAACATAGTGAAAGATGTGCTGTTTAAGAAAGTTCAGGAATTACAGACTGAGACAATGAAAGAAAAAGCTGTTGTATCAGAAATTGAAGGAACTCGTTCCTCCCTAAAGCACCTCAACCATCAGTTACATAAACTGGATTTTGAAACCTTGAAGCAGCAAGAAATTATGTACAGTCAGGTAGATGTTAATCTTATGAATGTCTTCCATATTGATTTGTTATAGTTGTGACGGTTAAGATACCACAGTGTCCTGAAAAAACAAAGATTTTTAAAGCACTCTTGGAGGGATAGACAGATGCTGAAATAGGATATCATGTTTGGTAAGCAGTGGGGTGAGGGAGCCTTAAAACCTATTTTTTTTTCTTGATCTGAAATAAACAGGTCAGAGGATAGACAACTCCAGTGAGGGACAATCATGCTTTAAAGGAACCTGGGGCAATTGGGCCTGGAGTAAAACAAACCAAGGAGTGGGCTATCTGAAACCTGGAAAAACTGTATGTTGAGTCTTAGTCATGCAAACATGGGCTTCCTTACCCCAACCCCTGACTAATAGTTTAAAAGCACTTCAGACATTTTTCCTTATTTGTTCCATTTATATATTCTGTCTCATGTTAATTCTTTAATATCATCCCTCTCTACATCTTAATTTCCTTGTCTAATGTTGTAGTTTCTCAAAATTACGGATGTTAAAGTATTATTTTAAAAATAATTCATTGGAAGTTCATCATATTTGAGCCATTCATGGCTAACAATTTGTGACTTTTTTGTATCCCTTAGAAAATGTGCCCTCAAAAATCCATGTCCATGTAAATCCAGTGGATTTACTGAGGTTCCATCCTAGTAGTATGGTAAATACCCTCTTAGCTGACTTCTTATATTTTCAGAAGATTACTTACTTTTATGTCACTATCATGTACCTTGATTGTTGAAGAATAGTTTGCTGTTTCTCCACTTAGAGTTAAAAAGGATTTTGTACTATAAATTACTGAAGAATTAAAGTGACTTTAGTAAATGACACTTAAGACTAAACTTTAAGAAAGTGTTTATTGTGTTTTATTGTGTTTATTGTGTAAAACCATTTATGGAAATGGTTTTAACTGTTTGTTTCTCCTTACTATCTGTTTTTAAAAATGTAACAGGATTTTTACATTCAACAAGTGGAACGCCGAATGTCACGGTTAAAAGGAGAAATTAATTCAGAAGAAAAACAAGCCCTGGAAACAAAAATTGTTGAACTTAAAAAGACATTGGAAGAGAAAAAATCTACATTTGGCCTTTTGGAAACACAGATCAAGAAGCTTCATGTAACTTAGCCAAAATACTTTTGATGCTTCAAATATCCTAGTCATTAGTCATTCTGTTTTAAGTCAACTTGGTCCTAAGACTTTACTTTGGATAGGATGATTGCCAAGCTACCTGCATGTATAACAAATGTATGAACTAATGTTCATGTTTCTATACCGACTATGAGAATATAACATTACCATTGATTATGCATTTACTATATGATAAGTATATTGCATGCCTTTAGTATTTTATCTCATTTAATCTTTTTTTTTTTTTT